AAAACTATAGGTATTCAGAGTTGAAAAGATCCAAATCGCATCATTGAAATTAATATTTGTGACCTTACAAACGTTATTCCTAATGTTAAGTGAGAATAGTCAATGGTGAAATTTTGAACAGATCTCTTGGTTGATTATTGCTTCTGATTCTTCTACTACTATTAATTCTACTTCTACAGCTATACTATCTTCATCAATTAATAAATTCATTGGGATGGGTAATTGGGAAAAAGTTTTGCTATGACCATAAAAAAACAATGCGCAAAAAAAAGAGAAGTTACCTACAAGTGTGAGAATAACTATATTATTATATATAATTATATAGATTAATTATTATGTAAAAATGGTTATTATATGTTCTACAAAATGTATATGTTTGTAACTTCCGATGATTTAAACATTCAACCTGAACGTATTAATATTAATTATTATCAAGAATTAATTAAAAAATTTTTCAAAAATAATAATAATTATAAGAATTTATAATGTGAATTACCTCATTAGATCCTTTACAACATCGTGAACTCTGAAAGACATATCCGTAATCATTATTATAATTAGTTACATGAATCTTGATTCCTTGGAATCTATTTCTTCTATAATTTTTTCATTCAAACTTTTGTTCATTACTGCTTGAAATTTGTTACTAATGCTTTTTCCGAAGAGATTTCTAATTCTATTATTATTATTATTTTTTTTTTGGATTGATTATTATTGATGGTAATGACATGCGACCTAAATTTATTTGATAAAGTTGGACACTCTCAACAATATCAGATGTATGAAAAAAAAAATCGAAATTGCAGTCTAACTACATACTTGGCAACCCTTAATGACTCATCACTCAAGCGTGCTACCTCATAGCCACTTAGTGCTGCAAGTTTTCCCTGCTCTGTTTCCAGCCTCGGGCTTTTTCCTTGCTATTTAAGAACCTACTGGCCCAAATTTACAAATAAACCAGAATGTTCACACAAAGTTCAAATGAGACACTGCTTTCAACGTGCAGCATTAGAGATTGTTGGTCCAAATGTGAAGTATTCCACATTTCTGTTCTCCAGAAGCAGAGTTACAGTCTGAAGCCACTCAGACCAACACTAGTATAGTGAAATTTTGACTTATATATCAACTCTCAAAAAAGTTTTTATGCATTATGGGATTAATTCATGTAATTTAATTGGTTAAATTTAAATTATTAAAAATCTATCGAAAATTTGCGGTCAACAATATAGTTACCATATGACAGAAGAAGCTTTGGATGCTTGACAGACTTTTTGGTCAGGTCTCGATATTTAATAACGTTAATAACAAAAATATTGATTTAGTAACAGAGATACATATGTTAATTACTAAAGCAAGCAGTTATGAAGGAAAATAGACGAGTAGATACTCGGAAAAATTGTTACTAGATATAGTTTAATTTGAATAATATAAGCACTACAAAGTCAAAAATTAGATTGTTTCTTATATTTATTTGAATCTATTTTTTTCGTTCATTTTTAATAATTAAACAAAAATCAACTAATTCTGTTGTTAATCCGTAATATAAGCGAAGAGTTCATATCTCGATAATTATTACATTGAAAATTTTAAAGTTTGTTTTGTAACAAACGACGCGCGTTGAAACACGCAAATCAATATACCGAAACCTCAAAAAAGAAATAGCAAATTTTTTCGGTAAAAATCGCAGAATCAAAAGTAATTTTTGTTCAAAAATCTTGATACCATCTATAGTGTGGACGTTCTCGAATTAAAAGTAAAGAAAGAAGGCCTCTAAGTCCTTGTAATTTGTAAATGGATAATAATAATGTCACCAATTAGGGGCGAGAGAGCGAAATAATAAAATAAATTGAGTGGGTCAGGCTAAAATAACCTTTACTAAAGAATGGTTTAGGATTTGAGTTTAACTCGTCTCCAATCAAAGCTTTTAATTTTAGAATCTTATTTTAGTTAATGAGTTTCAGATTCATTGATAATTAATAATCAATGAGAACTGTGTATACTGATTAAAACCTAGTTAATCTTATCAAAGAAAAAAGATCGATCAGCCATTTTTATTTACTGACAAGATTGTTTTTATCATATGAAAAAATTGAAACTATGGTCGCAATGAAATGGAAAAATAATGAAATAAAATGTGGGTAAAATGTTTAAACCAATTAACGTTTACTAAAATTAATTAATGTATATTAAAACTTAATTAATACTGAAATAGAATAGTGTTATTAATTTAACTTTTTATCTTCCTTTGGGCTGAAATCTTAAACAACAAATTCCTAAAAATATAATTACTATTATTTTATTTATTTATTACCCAATATATACATTACACATATCTCTTTTTTTTTAAAAAAAAAATATGATCAACGAATAGAAATTTGCGCTGTTGCTTGCTGGGTGATATAGTTTGATATAGTTGCTTCTGCTATGTTTAGATTCTCTTCGATCATTATGCATTACTCGCATACTCATAGACGGATGAATTTTGTTATCCTCTTTGACCTTAATACTTTAATCTAAAACAACAAAACAACAATTCTACTTACTATTTCATACAAAAAATAATTACTAATCAATAGATATAGTTCTACAATATCAAAAATATAGTTTTACAACTAGTAATAATGGTAATAGTACTCCAAAATTACGTGCTATTGCCAATTAAAGTTGATGATGCAATTTCTAACCAATAGACTTTTTTAGATAAAAAATGATTATTTTTTTTTTGAATTATAAATAGAGTTACGAAAAATAACAACAATTCAACAATTCAATTTTCCTTTGTGAAAAATATTTTAACGACAAAAAAAAAACTTATTTTAAAAAAAAAACTAATAAAATTAATTCAAAATGGTTCTTCGTCTTGGAAATGAGGCTCCAAACTTCAAAGCAAATACCACCAAAGGAGATATTGATTTTCATGAATTTATCGGTAGCTCTTGGGTAATTTTATTTTCTCATCCAGCTGATTTCAGTAAGTATTTTAATTAATTGATAAATGTGTATTTTTTTAAATCTTAATTATTATCTATATCACTTATTTAACAATCGATTATCATCCATATATCATTCTTTTTTGTTATATAGCTCCAGTATGTACCACAGAACTTGGTGAAGTTGCTCGCAGAGCAGCAGACTTTGAACAACGTAATGTTAAAGTTATTGGATTGTCAGCCAATGAGTTAACTGATCATTTGAAATGGATTGAGGACGTCAACGAAGTTGGTAACGTAAAACTTGGCTTTCCAATCATTGCCGATGCTGATCGTAAAGTATCAACTTTATATGACATGTTGGATTATCAAGATCCTACCAATATTGATAGCAAAGGAATTCCATTCACTGTTCGAAGTGTTTTCATCATCGATCCAAAGAAATCAATTCGTGCAATCATCACATATCCCGCATCAACTGGTTAGTATTCATTTGTAGATACTTGTAGTTAATATTTTAATCATAATAATATTATTAATCAATCAATTGTGTTATTTATCACTATTTAGGTCGTAACTTTGATGAAATAATCCGTGTAATTGATTCACTTCAACTTGGTGATAAACATCGTATCACCACCCCTGCCAATTGGAAAAAAGGTGATGATGTTATTGTTCATCCAGGTGTTAGTAATGAAGAAGCTGATAAATTATTCCCTGGCTATAGAACCGTTAAGCCATACCTTCGTCTTGCTAAATCTCCTTTCTAATCATATCAATCAATCAATCATTCATTCACAAATGTACATGAAACATGCAATTGTTTATATTTATTATATTTGCTTTATTTAAATATATTTTGTGATAAACATATGTACAAACAAATAAATTTTTTTTTCAATTGACTAAATTTTATAATTTAAACAAAACTTGAATTTCAACTCGTTTTTTTATTTGCTGTCTATTTATTAATTTTCCCATTTTTACAAATATAATAATAAAAATGTAACAATCTATCATCATTTTTATTTACCATTGTTTGAGACCTCAAGATATGGTAAATTAAAAATTTTATTTGGAACAATATGTTTCGAGTTAGATGAGAATCATAGAATATCATGGGAATTAATAGTTGTTAATCGAACACAATTTTTTTAGACATTAAAGAAATAATATTGGCAATTAAAATATTGGAATAAAATAAAGTTCTTGTTGTCTGTCCGATAATTGTCTTTGTGAATTTGTGATTTCACACAACTTGGTGTCATATTTCTGCTTGTAATGGGAATATATATTGTATCATATTCATGTTCTTGATATAATGATTATGATTATTATGAATGAAACTTTAAAATTGTGTCGACTATTTCAATCTATATAGAATCGTCATTTCTGAGAAACCTTTTTTTCGATGGTAAAGTTTTTTTTGGAAGTTGGTATTAAAAAAATTTGTCAAAAAAAAAAAGTAAAGGATGGGAGGATGTTAGACGAGTAACTTTTTCTTGTATTCTGACTAATTATTATTTTTTCAAAAAAAAAAAAAAATTCTGACTTCCTTTTATCATTTACATTCTTACATGTGGCAATAAGCGATAAACCGTTTGAAGATTTTAAAGAACTTTAAATATTCTAAAGTATTGATTTAGAAAAGAATTAATTATAATTATATAATGCCAATAATTATGTAAAAACTTTTTTTTAAATCAGAAATAATAGTTTCCACAAAGGATGATAACATCATTCCATATTCAGAAGAACGAAAGTTATTAAAAAATTTAAAGATTATTCATCATTTTCTTCCATTTTATAATTTATAAAAAAAATAAATTAATATTTACCAATAAATTTCATTCATTGCGTTAAAGCATAGCATCAAAGAAAAATTTTTTTTTGAGATCATTGCAACATTTTGGGGTGCGAAATTTTAAATTTATAATAATAATAATACATTTATATATATATATACAAAATAATAATATTTAAAATAATAATAATACACTTAAAATTATAATTTCTCTATTAACAAAATAAATAAATAATAAATAAATAAGTGTTGATTGAGAAATATCCCTAAAGTCTTTGAAAAATAGTCTAATTTTATTTACAACAAATTGTCATTTCACATTCACCGCCACTAATTTGTATATATTTCCATCCAATATCATTTATTGTTGTTGTTGTTGTTCATGGGCTGATTAACAGTTGGTAAACTAATATTTTCATTCTCGTAATCTTGTTTTTGATGTTCAGAAAATACTCCAGGCATCGAATCCATTGTGTCGTTCGATTTTGTTAAATCACTTGATGTTGGTATGGAATTCATTGTGGGGAGTTGTGTTGTATGTAGCCTTGGTGATGTTGGTACTGATTGTGTTGTTGTTTCGTCTATAGATGAACCATCATATTCATCATCATCATCATCTTCTTCTTGTTCTGCTTGAATTGCAAGATCATTAACATCTTCTTCATCTGACGTATCATCATTTTGACGAATGGGTTTAGTTACTATTTTTAAAATTATTATTAATTATTCATTAACACATGTGTAAATGTGTGCATAGCGTGTTCATAAACTAAATGAACTAACCTGTCATTCTTTTTTCTAAACCCACAACTTTCTCAGGTGCACTATCCATGTAATGTACACTGTTGCGATTATTTTTTGATGATTAGTTGAATGAATAGACAGACAGTCAGTCAACAGACACGAGGGGAGATGATTTAAAAGTTTAAAAACATTATACATTAGTGGTCCCTTAAAAATTATCTCTAAATTTTAACGTCTAGGATATTATTAAATTCTTTTTGCTTGTCCCATATGTTAATGATTAATTAAAAAGGAAGGTTTTATGTTTCAGATTTCTTGGAAAAAAAAAAATTTTTGAATTTTAAATAATTATTTCAAATTAAGAAATTTGTATTTTTGTTTTTCAATATAAAAATGTCCCAAATAATTTTCTATTCATTTCACAAAAAAAACTCTTAATTCAATACAAAAAATATGAACGAAGAAATCACACCAAATAGAATTCCTCGTTCCATGTATAAAATTTACTCGCCAAACATTTATTTCAGTTATTTACCAGGCAGCAAAACGCTTCAAAAAGGTTTTCTTGGCATAACGAATGAATTCTCATTAGTCGGCATCTTGAATGTAAGTTTTCCCGCGGATCAACCAGTCTACATAAAACAAATTCAATTGAACTTTATTGGAATAGAATACGATTATTTAAAAGATTCGAATGTTGTAGAAAATGGAATCTTGACTTTTTGTGATCTCAATAAAGTTATTTGGAATAGTTCTTCGCATTCAGAAGATTACGAAAAAATCAACGATTTAGAAATTCCCTTCGAACTGGAACTCCCGAATGAGCTGCCGTCTTCAATAAATATTAGACATGGCAAACTCATGATAGATTATTATCTAAAAGCTACAATCATACGAAAGCCACCTGGTTTAAAAAAATCATTACTAATGGGCTATAATAAAACCATTCAGTTATACCTAAAATTAGATAGATATAAATTACCCTCTCTTTCAAATCTAAGCTCAATTAAATTTGAGAGAAAGTCATCCTACGGATTTAGGTATGATATTTGTATAAATTCCAAGGTTTTCAGTGCCAAACAGCAAATTTCTTGTGATGTAAAACTAGAATTTTTCAATCAAGCGTTGTCACTAAATGAAATATTCATAGGATTGAAAGAATATCAAAAAATACTAACTAGTAATTATACTTCCAAAACAATCAAACAATATGTTTTACAAAATACAATCAAAGGAAATCGAGTTCAAGTTGATGACAAATCAAATTCAAAAAATGAATTTAAGATTAATTTAAAACTGGAAATACCAGAAATCATTTTGCCTAACAAGAAAAACAATAAAAAGAAGAATAAAACTGATAATTTAGTTAATTGGAAAATGTCTTCACGTAATTTCAAGATTTTTCACAAATTAAAAATCAAATTCATATTTGGTGGCGAATTGTTCTTTAATCAAAAAGTTGTTAAATTTGAAAACCCAATAGAAATAGTTAAAATGTTGAATAATCACCAGGAACAAAATTTATTGTTTCATATATTAAATAGTCATAATGAATCTTTCCTTCACTTATACCAACAGCAGCAAATTTATCGACAACAAGACGGGAACGAGCTTCCTCCTCCTTATGACTCACCAACAATCACAGAAACTGCCACCACCACAAGTGCAATTACTTCCGACAGTTTACTTAATTGGTTATCATCTTTAAAGTTACCGCCAACTTATGACAACAATGGTGACGTTACTACTAATACTATTCCAATCACTTCACTAATAATCATTGATAATTGATATTATCATTATTATAATTATCATAATTATGAAACTTGAAAGAATAGAAAGAATATTGTAATTTTTTAATTCTACAAATCAACCAATAAAATCGTCCAAATTTGACACGCAAAGATCAGCAGCAAATCATTTATTATTAAATATCAATTCACACTGATCAAAGATTTTACAAGGCTATAAAACAGGTGTTCTCTGCTTTCAAGATCAAAAGATAAGTGATGCTAAATTGAGCATGGAAGTAATCTGATCAGGCTTATATGACAAGAAAGGGGAATTTTATGGTTATTATAAATATAAATATAAATATAAATATAAATATAAATATAAAACCTGATGAACTTTAATTTCCTTACAATAATTGAATATGAGAGAATTCTTTAATAATCATTTGAAACTAATGGCATTGGATATAAAAATATACAAGAACATTTATTGCAGCAAAAAGACTACGGAAAAAGTGTATACACACCCTCATTAAATTTTCCACCACCTGGTTGAATCATTCCAAAATTAGAATTATTTTTGATAATTTTCTCAATATCACCCATTAAAGAGAGTGATAAATCAGAGAAGTCTAGATGAAAAAGCCACGATCCTATGTACCATCATTAATCAATTAACACAAGAGTTGATGGTGGGACGAATGAAAAATGTGCCCTAGCGGTTACTGGGGTAACTGAAACAACTCAATCATGAAGGATAATTTGATTTTAACACTAATGTGCGCCACCAGTAATTGATACAGCAAAGAATTTGCAAAGTATAGTTCCTTTTTTTGTCTTTACTATTTAAATTTTTACATTTTGTTGGCAAGGCAATAATATTCTTGTACAAAAAAAATTTTTTAAATAGTTTTCACAATAAAACAATTAGAAATTTCTATTATAATTTTTCTATTATTAGAAATTCCTTATAATTTTTTGACCAGTCCAAGCTATTTTTGAAAAAAGCAGCTGCCGCAAACAGATACGGCTGCTTCAAATTTTTATTTTCAGTCAACTAAACTTTTTTTTGAACAGACTACTAATACTACTAATACTAATACTGATACTAATGCTAATACATACTAATACTAATACTAATACTAATACAGTGCAAATCGTCTATACTTGAAATTATGAAAACCTAAATATCATGTGATCCACTTGTCAGATTTTAATGAAAATATTACCATTCAACTCACCTTTAAAAAAGGAATCGATTTATAACACAAAAAAAATTTAGTCTCATTTTTTAGTCAAAGATCTTCAAAAGATTTATTTAAGATAAAAAACAAAATAAAAGAATACTTAAATTTTAATTTCATCATACACAGAATTAGGAACTCTCCATACTTTTTCACTGCAAACTCAGCTAATCTTCCTGAAATTCCCTTTCCATATATCTCCAGCTTTTTTGTGCATAATGATGAATTGTCGTTAAGGATACTGAATTTAATGCTTCTGGTACAACTATTTGTAAACTTGACCACTTATAATCACAATTCTTTCTTGTATAATGTTTTACAGCTCCCCAAAACATTACTAGAATCTGAAGAATAAATTTCATCTGATAAAATAAAATCTGAGTCAGAAGAATCTGATAATTTGCTTTCTTCAAATTGACCTGTAGATGAATTGTTAGATCGATTTTTGAAATTTTTTCTTTGAGCAATTTGTTTTTTTGATAATGGCAATTTAAATGATAAAAATAAATCAAACCCGCTATGTTACACGAATTTACTTAGTCTCATTTTTATTATATGTAAATTGGTATTACTTTAAACCTATATAACTTGAAGATAAAAAAAATTCTAGCCACTAACTTTGAAAGCTCTAGTGTTGCTTAGTAAAAATTGGTGGTTAGAAGTTTTTAAAATGCTTTTTAATTTATTTTTATCAAATTTGGCAACATCAATTTTTATTTTGAGTATATAGATGATTTGCACAGCATAGCGGGCTTTCTCTATGATTGGTCAATTTTAAAAATGACGATCATTAACAAATTTAAAGTTTAAAAAATTTATTTTTGTATTTGTAAAATTCGACAAATGTTTTTAATGAAATAATAATAAACTTATGAAGTGTTAAACAATGATAAAAGATTATCTAAAATTGTATCTACAG